GACAGTGGGGTATTGAAGTCCCCTACTATTACTGAGTTGGGGTTAATTTGTGTCTTAAAGTCCTGTAGTATTGCTGGGCGTGGTGGAGCACGCCTTTAATCCCAGCACTCGGGAGGCAGAGGCAGGTGAATCCTTGTGAATTCAAGGCCAGCCTGGTCTATGTAGTGAGTTCAGGTCAGCCAGGACTACAGAGATGCCCTGTCTCAAAAAAAAAAGTCCTGTAGTGTTGTTTTTATGAATTTGGGTGCACCAGAGTTTGGTGCATGTATGTTAAGGATTGTAATATCTTCTTGATTGACTGTTCCTTTGATCAGAATGAAGTGACTCTCCTTATCTCTTCTGATTAGTTTTACTTTGAAGTCTATTTTGTCAGCTATTAGAATTGCAACCCCTGCTTGTTTCTTAGTGCCATTTTCTTAGAATATTCTTTTCCATCCTTTTACCTTAAGTAGTGCCTGTCCTTGAAGGTGAGATGGGTTTCTTGCAGACAGCAAAGAGATGGATTTTTGTTTCTTAATCCATTCATGTGTCTTTCGACTGGGGAGTTCAGTCCACTGATATTTAAAGTTATTACTGAAAGATGTGTATTGGGCGGGCATGGTGGTACACACCTTTAATCCCAGCACTCAGGAGGCAGAGGCAGGCAGATCTCTGTGAGTTCAAGGCCAGCCTGCTCTCCATAGCAAATCCAGGCTAGCTGGGGCTTACAGGGAAACCCTGTGTCATAAAGGCCAAAAAGAAAAAAAGATGTATATTGGTTGCTGTCATTTTGATGTCTAATTTTGTGTTTCCTTGATTTATTTTCTTTTGTTGCCCCTGGGGTATAATTGTTTCTTTCTCTGCTCTCTGTATTGCTTCAAGTATTGTTTGGAGGGCTGGTTTTGTGGACATGTATCCTTCCAGGCTATTCAACTATAATAGACATTTTTGCTGGGTAAAGTATTCTGGGCTGGCATCTATTGTCATGTAGAACTGGAAATACCTTGGTTCAGCCCTTTTGGCTTTCATGGTTTGCATTGGTAAGCCAGCTATAATTCTGATGGGCTTTCCTTTGTATATGACTTGTTGTTTTTCTTTTGCTGCTCTCAGCATTCTC